ATTTCCAAGAGCATAGATTTTTAAATATCACGTTAACCAGGTAACCAGAATTCTCAAGGGAAAACTCCACAGAATGCATAAGGTTTATATGCATTATCTGGTATTAAATTAGTATTAAAATACATAATGAATCCTACTTCACAATCTAAGAAAAACATTCAAGACATTTATGAATTACTATCTCCAAATGCACATTGAGAATAATAAAATGTTTAGGAACTACAGTAAAACTGTCAAGACTACAATCTGTGTTGAAAAGAGACTCCACAAACAGACTTCTCTTGGACATCAAAGTCTAGAGAGGGCGTCCATTGGGACCAATTTATCACATCACATCAGTAACACATTCTACCAGGGAGAAAAGCATGGTTCCTTGTGGGATTCATTTAAGTAGACACATAGGCACCTAAAGCAGTTTGAAACGTCCTGAAACATCCTGTCAAGCTTCTAGATACAGCTGCTGGAGGATACTGGTCTGCTGTAGGTCCTGAGCTGTATTTTCTAGCCCATACAGGAACTACTCGGGCATCACAGACATATCTGGTGACAGCTGAGATGGTTTAGGGTGTATGTGAAGCTTAAAGGCTAGAAGAGATTGACTCCTTGAGGAGTTGTCTGAAGTACTAAATGGCCTGTTGGGGAATGTTATGATCTTGTTATACCACCTTCATCTTTCAACATAATTCCTCACTGATATCTTCCAACATAGAACCCATTCTTGAAGTGAGAACCTGAAAAGCCTCCAAACCAAAACCAAGTCAAATCTTTAACAGCCCAGAAACAGTCAAGCATTTTTGCCTACACCAAATCACATTGATTTCTGCTCCTCACTATCCCTGACACAGCACGTCTTTATTCAATACACCTCCATTACCAGTGGTGACATTGGGATCCTTCCCTCCTATATGAACTGGTAAAGTACAGCAGAACATCCTTGAAAAGTTTACAAGTAAAATACAAACAAAATGCTAAACAGAACATAAATAAACCAAAGCAAGGCAAACACCAAATATAAATGAAGTAGGATATAGTTTCAGTATAAAGCAAGCTTACTGAAATGAGAAATCAATCCCTACATTAAGAGTAAACAGTCAGTTCTAATGTCAAAGGCCAGTCAGAGAACAGCAGGTGTATGGGACAGACAGCTGAATGCCAGACACTGGTATACCAAAGCAGTACTATGCAATACAAAAGTAGTACTGCACAGGAAGCATCAACTTTTCTTCCCATCATAAGGATTAGCATCCATCCCTATGTCAGAGACTTAAAAACTATCACCAGAAGAGCTCACCAGGAATACAGACTCTGCTGTAACTAGGGGTCACAAAAAGCGAGCCCACACGTCTCAAAGGTTAAAAGTTAACCATCAGTCATAGCAAGTTTTAAAAAGCACCCCTGTTTTTACAAAGAATTTGCCTGAAAAAAAAGAGTGAAGAGAAACTGTGCCTGTCTCCAGTGCAACACACAGCACATAACATTAACTTTGCTCCATTTGGAAGTGTTCAGAACTGTCTTTAACAGTATTATAAATTTTCATTTGAAAAATCTGAAGGGACTCATCAGTTAAAAATCACCACAGAAGTCTTCATACATTCTCCTCTTTTCTACAGATGAATAAAGATGCCTTTGTTTATAAAGAAAACTTACTGTAACTGCAATATCAGTGCAATACAGCTCAGTGGAGTTTGACAGATTCAATTCATAGCACAATTTTAGAAATCCTTCACATCCATAAATTTACAGGAATTATGCATATGAATGCTGCTCTTTACATACTCAGTGGCAATCAGGATAGAGAGTCCCACCTGCATTCTGTGGGCTTCACTATGTGCCACTTCAAACTGCATAAAAAGTACAAATGTTTCAAAGTATTTATTCAATTTCATCTTTGATTCAACCAGTGTACATTTCTAGAAAACATGACCCCAGTCCTTATTCAGTTGCTTAGAATATCAATTATAACCTGAGTAGCTCCTTAAGAAGTCACTACTTCCACAGAAAACTCATCAACAAGTTGAAAACTCCTCATTTTTAGAAGACAAATTCACTTATTCTTCAGGACAGAACTGTTCCACCAGTGTTTCAACACAGCAGAATCTACAAGGGCTCAAGTTCACCAATACAAATACTCATGCTATACAAACAATTCTACTGCTTGTTTTAGGCATTATAAAAAGCACTATATTGAGCTGAAAGCACCGATATTTTCATGTTGTTATACCTTAAACATTCGTGTACCTGCAAAGACAGTTGCAAACATTTTTTTATAAAAATCTGTGAAAAAAATGTTTGGAGTTACAAAAAAAAAAAAAAAGAAAAGAAAAGGAAAAAAGTGCTCATTTTGAAGCCTTCTGACTAGAAAAATTTCAAGAGCTTAAGCTCAAAATCCAAAGCTCAACATAGGCTTTTAGGACTCTGGTCACTGATACTGCAACTATCCACATGAAGTAGAGAGACAGCTTAGAAACTATTAGTTTTCTTTAACTGGAGTGCAGATAACACTGCTGACAGTACTAGAACCTCACTGGGCAAGAAGCAGAGCCTGTGCCTCACTACTCGTATCTTAAAGCTGACGATGACAGTAGTCAATATATGAAGTAGACAACCAGCTTTTGAATAAATAAATAAATTAGAGTGTTAAGCAAGGGGAGTATGTTGTTAAGTCCACTGATGCCACAAGGTAAGATGTATCACACAGGAGAGGATATAGCAGCTGCAATATCCCAGGAAAACTTTGTTAGCAGTGGTACCTCCACTTGATAAGTGGGATAACTCTACACACTATACTGTACAGCCTTCCACCCAAAAGGTAAGTCCTCAGGTTTTTTTAAGCCCATCACTATTTTAAAGCAGAACTTAACTTCATGGCTTCAAGGTTAATCATGAACACTGACTTTTTCAGAGACAGCAAGTTAAATCTCCTGCTAGGGCTGATGAAGTAAATACAATCAAGACCAAGCAGGGTCCATGTCAGTCTCACACTGGCAGCTAGACTATGCCTCATCTATACAATTTACTATAAAGATATTTGATTGAGAACCAACTATTTTATTTAATAGATCTGAAATGAAAAAGTAAACAAAAGTGCTAAACACGCTCTCCCAGCTCTTCCTCCCTGGCTTCCTACTCAACATCTTGCTCAGATTTTTCTAGGTTTTCTACCACTCAATCACAAAATGGCTGAGGTTGACAGGGACCTATGGAGTTCATCTGGTCCAGTCCCCTGCTCAAACAGGGACACCTAGACTGGGCTGCCCAGGACCACATCCAGATGCCTTCTGAGTATCTCCAATCATGGAGATTCCACCACCTCTCCAGACAACCTGCTCCAACGCTCAGTCACCTTCACAGTGCAATCTGCTACCTTAAGTTCAGGCAGAACCTCTGTGCTTCCATTTGTGGTCATTGCCTCTTATCTTGCCACCCGACATCACGGACAACAGCCAAGCTCCACCTTCTTTACACCCTCCCTTCCCAATGCACTGATGAGACTCTCACCCTGAGCCTTCTCTATACTGAACAACTCCAGCAATTCTCTCAACCTTCTCCTCAGGTGAGATAAGCTCCAGTCCTATAATGATCTTAGTTGCCCTTCACTGGACTCTATCCAGTAACTCTGTTGCTTTTACTTGGGAGACCAGAACTGGACGCAGTACTCCAGATGTGGCCTAACCAGTGCTGAGATCACTCATCTCAACTGAAATCATTGTTTAGTACTTCTTAAGATTTTTACTGTACTGCAGACAGTGAAGAAATTGCATCTTCCCAGTTCAGAGCCCATTTCACTCATCAGTATTTTCCTAGATGCTTCCTCCAATCTGCCCTTTCCTACTTCTGCTGATTTCCCACTGGATCCAAGTGCCCAAATTCTGTTGCCTATCCTCCACCAGATTCTTCCTATAGTTATCCATCTAATTCCTCAACTAGCATTCTACTGCATTCAACTCCTTTTCTAATCCTTCATTAGAGTCATCCAACAGCTGATGATCCCTAAATAGCAAACCAGAGAAAGACATAATTAAAATCTGAGCTGGACTAGACCCTTAATGCTGCCAAAAATAAAAAATTACTTTTAAAAATATTAAAACATTTACATACATTATTATAGAGATTAATCAATATCAAGAAGAATAGGAAGAAAGCTTTGGTTTTCAAGTACCCTTCTTGCAGTTTTCAGTATGGAACCTTCTCGCAGTAAATACTGAACACAGGATCTGTTCTGCTTTATAGATCAGCACTTTGATGAGTAGAATATACACAGAGATTGTGTAAGAACTCCAGCACCTCTGAAAAGACCTTCACTAGAGCAAGCAACATCACAAGTCAAAGGACCCTCAGCATCAGGGTAAAAAGATTACTTTGACAACTTTATCACATATTGCTTCCTTTAATGAGCGCTTCCTAAATGAAGCATCAAGGCCTCAAGAACTATTTAATTTGAGTCTTCAGGGGTTCTATACCCCAAGCAAACAAGTGACTTGAATTTGGGAGAATGTCTAGATTATGTATGTAGCTGTTCTTATTCCAACACAAGAAAATCACTCCTGCTCTGACACAAGTCCACACTGAGAGCTATGCTGTAACAGTTACAGGTAACCTGCCCAGTTCAGAAGTTCTCCAAGCTTTATTTTTTTATTTATTTAGAGATCAAAAGAGATGAAATTCAACAGACTAAGTTTGCCTGTTTGAATTCTTGAGAGGAATTTCCAGAATATATTAGTTCCTTCCAACCCACAGAGACAAAGCAGCCATGACTTCATGGTTTTGCAAACAAGGCTTTCCAACAAAACATGTATTGGCAAGCCATATCTGTTCTGCATTATAAAACCAACCAAGAAACATGTATGAAACAAACGCTTCAAATATAATACAAAATACCAATTGTTTACCTCATTTTCAGAGCTATTTCTAATAAAACTGCATTAGCTATATTTGTTTTGTAAGTGTAAAGTTTTAGCCACACTTTAGATGCACGTAACTAAAACCAGGGGATTACTTACCAAATAAGTCAAATGAAAAGGGGTCCCTTCCACCAAAAAACTCCCTGAAGACATCATCTGGGTTACGGAATGTAAATCCAAAATCAAACGCATTATCGTGATGATTTCCACCTGCAAAAAAAAAAATTACGTTTCAATTACTTTTACACGTTCTTACTAACAAGAAAGTTCAGTCCTATATGGTATTTGAATCATTTAAAAATATAAACAATTTCTAAAGTTTCCCTTTCAGGTATCATTCGGGTTAAGTACACACAATATTTTTTACAACTGGTTCTCTTTCTGTGTTTTTAGATAACAGTAATACCTTTGACCACACAACAAGAAAAAAATGTAAAACAGCTGTAATCTCAACTTTTAGAGGATTGGAAGATTCCACCAGAATAGAGAAAGCAAAGAACTGCTGGTTGTCAACATACCTCCGCCTCCATTTATTAGGCCTTCTTTTCCATATCTGTCATAGATGTCACGTTTTTTAGCTACAAGGAGAAGTTGCAAATCATGTCAGTAAACAGGTACATTGATTTGGGGGGGGAAAGGACTTAGCTGGTATTCTCAGTTAAACACCTTCTCAAAGCTCATTTATTTAACAAAGTTCTGGCATATAACTGCTGAATGTTTTTAATGAGGATTGCCAAAGCAATTTAGGTTCAGAAAGAACAGGCACTAAACTTCAGACTTACTACCATTTAGTTCTAGAAGCTCCAGTCCTGTCGTATCAGAAGAAGTTTGGTACAAGGACCAAACTTCACAAGGAAGTTTGCCCTTTAAAAGAATACTTTAAAACGAATACTGCAGTCTTCTTCTTTACACAGGCACAAAGCTTTAAGGCTGTAAAGGACCTCTGGAATTCAACCTGCTACTCCACACAAGTCTAATCACAAAGCTGGTCAGATCTTGCCTGAATAAAGCCCTGATCTCACCAATCTGCAAGAAAAGATTCTACAGTTTCTCTGAAAAGCAGCTCCAGAGCTCAGGCATTCTCATTGTAAGCATTCTCTTCCTTCTATCCAACTTACAAACCTCGACCATTGCTTTTTTTCCTTTTATTGCACAAGAACATGCCCACAGTGAGAGAGTTATGAGAACGGAAGAACAGTGTTTATATGACTGACTGCAAAACCCCTAAAATTAACTTCTTTTAGCTTAATAATGGAGAATGAAGTGATGTTACAAAATGCCGTGGAAGGATGTGACTCAAACTGCTTGCTCTCCATTATTTTAGAAGGCATAAAATGACTATAAATCTCACTCCAGACCAGCCTTACAGTATCCATGAGAAAGGGGAGAAAAATGAGCTTTATGTTACTGCATAGGATCAGATGGCACTGTTGGTACTGGAAGGGAACCTGAAGAGCTTAAAGAGGCAGATAGTTGGCTTACTTTGCTTGCACTGGTGTGGCAGTATCAGCCAAAAACCAGTCTGGGCATCTGATTTTAGATTCTCAATTTTATCATGCTTTTCCCACTGGAATCTCTTCAGTGAAAGATGTTTTAAAATTTAAATAGCATCACTGAAAGAACATGCAGTTACCTCAAACAGATGCTGGAAACTAAACCACTTCTGACTAACAGGAATTAAAATTTTATATAATGGTCATCATCTCCAACTAATAGAAACTTGAAATAGGTTCACACACACACAAATCCCCAAAGCTTGTTTAATTACCCATATTGCCTCTCTAGATAGCAATTTTTAAAGAAAGCAGGTTAAGCTACTCATCAATGTTAAAAGACCAAAGCAGTAAGGTAGATAAACTGTCAGGAGCAGGAAACAGCAACCTGAGGGCTCACAAAGCCCAAAGTTCATCTCAAAATGTTACATTTTTGAAACCACAAGGGAAGTGTGTTCAATGATCACCCAATGTCAGCATTCTTTGCTTAAGTAACCTCTTACAAAACTATTCTTCTGCCAAAAATCTCTCTTCATTCAAGCCTGTAATGGTGTCAGAAAATTTCATTAGGTCTGCAGAGGATCTGACTGCCTCTTGACCACTGGGCTCAGGATTCTGGTATCCCTGCTGCACAGATGATTGTTAAGACAGCAGTAAGTTAGGATTTGGTCTCAATCCAAAAACTGGCAGCGCTTTTAGATGTTCTAAAATTCTAGCAGTGTACTGTTTCCAAAGAACTTAAAGATCTGTATAACAACCAGACCAGTATCCTATTTTTATCTTGCTCAAAAAATTAGTTCAAGAAGGTTAAAGTGCTCTAGAAGACAATGAACTAACAATAAATTAAGTTCTGTTTCTCCCATGTCGATTAAGTATCAAAACCAAGCAAAGAAATAGTGTGTACTAGACTGCAGCTCCATAAATCAGGCTGAACTCTGAGAGGTAATCTAGATGCCACTAGTGCTTTAAATATAGCTTTCCCATGCTCACTGTCTCAGGTGAAATCAAGGACACTTCAGAAATAGCATATAGACAGCTGCAGTCAATTACAGAGGAAAATAATCAAAGTAGCTTAAATCACTTTGTTATGATTCAGACTGCTTCTGCCAGAACACTGGCAGAAGTTAATGATACTCTTCAAGCAAACACATGGGTGAACTCTAAACTGCATTCCTGCACTACATGGGTCAGGCTAAGCACCTCTTTCAGAACAATTCAAAATAAACACCATCTTTATCACTATCTGTATCACAGTTGACTGAATTTACAGAACTCACCCAAATGCAATCTGAATTTTCAGCAAGGTTTACAGTATGCTTGAGCTTTGTCAAGACTAGTTTACTGCTACAAGAACTAGAAGCAGTGGGCCCAACAGTAGATACTTCAGGGTTGGTCTAGCCTGACTTATTGGATAAACACAATAATACCCCTATACCAATGGTAACATTGGCTTTCTCTGCTAAGACAAAATTAATCTTGGTATTTGCAGACTTCTCTTCAGAAATTTCTGAAGAGGGCCTGCCAGACACAGAATTTCAATTTCTACAATAAAACTAATTTGGTTACTCATCTAGAGAGATCCTGACATTTTTGTTTCAAAATTTCTGCTTATTCTGTCCTATCTGCCAGCCTCCTTCTCCTTCTCTTTTGAAAAGGAAGTAGTCAAGTTGGATAATAAACCAAAGTAACAATATCTCTTCATAGCATCATACATCAACATTTTCAGTCTGATACACAAAATAGAGAAAGGCAATTCAAGAACCCTTTTAAAATACCTACCATCTGACAAAACTTCATAGGCCTCAGCTACTTGTTTAAATTGCCGTTCTGCCTCATCTTTATTGTCTGGATTTTTATCAGGGTGCCATTTTAGTGCCAACTTACGGTACCTAAGCGGAAAGAAAACAAAGGACATTGTGCTCTGAAATGATGGAATATGCTATACAGATAAACACAAAATGTTTCAAACAAGTTATCAGGAATTAAAAATATTTAGAAATTCCCCAGTGCTTCGTATCTTGCAACCACACTGGTATTAACAGATTCTGCAGGCACACAAAGAACCACCTTCTCAGATATGCTTTTAAGAAAAAAGTGGTCTGATGTGCTTCAGTTATTTTGAAATTATTCCCGTGCACTTCTGATGATCAAAGCATAACATTCCAAAACATGTCTGCTGTGAGATTCTCCTTGAAGCTCTATAATTATTCAGTACTACAGGCAACCATGGGGAGCATCGAGAAGGATCTGGTACATGTGAAGCACCTGGTACAGGCAAAGTTGATAAAGCTTCAAGAACACACCAATACCAGACTGCGGCAGCATCTCATCATTAATGCCTTCTTTGACTGCTACACCTGCACACAATTCCTATCCTCAAATAAAACATTTTAGGCAAAGTGTCCATAACTACTTAGAGGGGCAAAGCTAAGCTTGCCCTTAGGTGGGTGTGGAGTGTTTCACACAGTCACACAAGATCACAGTTCAAACATTTGACTTGACAAAATAGCATGTGCAGGAATTAGCAAAAGAATGAGGGAAGGCAACAAAGTGCAGATCCAGAAACCACGTCATTATATTTGTTCCTTAAAATACATAACACACACACCAGTGACACTTACGCTTTTTTAATATCCTCTGCTGAGGCATGCTTCTGCACTCCCAGAACTTCATAGTAATCCACCATGTTTCAGTAGGTGCTTGTTAACAACAGCTCAGTCTTTCAAGTCCTGTAACAACAACAACAACTTGTAAGTGAAGCTTGTCCAGTATTGTTACTTCATAAAAGTCAGGTAGAAGTCAGGTATCTTCTAGCACCAAACCTGATCTGAGAAGGACAAAATTCAAATGTTCCAACCCCCAAAAAATAAAAACGCTTTATTTTAGGTCGACAGGTCAACTACTTCAATTCTGATTTTTATGTTCTTTAATCCCACTGAAGCACAGTACACAGACACATGGGTAACCAGCAGTTCCTGGAACAAAACAGACTGAAAAGCCTGATTTAATCAATATATTAAAAAGAGTATGTGGATCACAGTTTTGATTATATATTAATAACTCTGAATGCAAAAGAAAGCACATATCATGTTCACCTAATGTCATCTATGACACCTATATCATGTCTTGAGCACATATGAGCAGAAACAAAGGGTCCTTTCTTCCACATCTGCTCTTCAGAACATTATTTTCACTGAGATGCTCCCTTCAAAAAAGCAACGAAATGTGCAGGTCTTAGAAACCTAAAACTCTACCTATTGATTCCAGTAAGCCCTTCTTGTACTCAGACCTTGACAAAAAATTTGCACGTTGCCAAAACTACTCAATACCCTTTACTTCCTTTATGTTTACCAACAGAAGTACATTGCCAGGCAAGGTTGTTCCAACTGCAAGGTTAACCAACCAACTCAAGTACAGAGCCACCTTCTGTTTCTTAGTATAAAAGAATAAAGTTTTCACAAGTGTCCTAAGAAACCTACAAGTTAAAAAAAAAAAAAAAATTAAATACTGACAGTTTCTTGTCCATATTAGAGAATAATTACAAGAAGCAGTTATATTAACCATTACTCCAACTAAATGAGGACTAAGATGAAAGAATCTTTCTAAAAGTTGCAATAATGTTTTATTGCAAAGCCTTCCTGCAAAGGCTTCTTCTCTCCAACACTGTAACGAGTCTCCATTCTGGCAAAAATTCCAAGCACCTTTCCATCCTACCACTGCTGCTGGTTCATTCCAAGTTTTATGAACAAGGAAACACCAACACTTTCCACAAGTTATCAGCTTGTTGCAGGCAAAGTCACACAAACACACTCAGAACATAACAATACAGCAATGTATTAGTCACATTTTCTTATCTCATGCATAAAGAACAAAAATTCATTGAAATAACTTTTCCCCCCTCAAGTCATTCAGTGTTTTTCATTTTAGCCCACACAGTCTCATTTTCCTGTTATTTCACACAAATGCTGAGAGTACCAAGCATGATGTAGCCCAGTGAAATATTCTGAAATTAATTTATTGTACTCATTTTACATATATCTTTCAACATCCTGGGATATAAACAGTAATGAGAGGCTTCCTTCAAAATAAATTGGTACATCTTCAAAATACGTTGTTGCTGTAGGTTAAAGCTTAATTGACTTTAATTAGGGATGTGGTTACACACACATTTCCTCAAATGGCAAAACCAGTTTAAGAGATACCCTGCCATGCTGCCTCCCCACTCCAAACTACTCACAGAAGCAAATGTATTGGAGGAGCTATCTGTGTTTAAAACTTGGGTGGTTTTAGCAATCTACTTAACCATACAGTCCCACAAACACAAAATTAAAGTGCAGCAGGTAAACAGACCTCTAATTGACTTTGCCCTTTGAAGAAATCTCCACACCAAAAAAATAGCAAGGGTATAGTTAATATTGTGACCAGTGTCAAAGGAAGTTGGGAGACATGAATTAAAATGAACATTAAGGATGCCAATAATAATATACTAATGGCAGGGTTCAATATGTAAACATACAGATTACCAAAAATATCCCAGAATATTTGCTATCAACTGGCCTTGCTAGTTTTGCCGTTTCCCACACAAGGACTAGAACAGCTCATGAACACAGAAGGGAAGAGCAAGGTCAGCATGGGTTCCATCTGTTACCAAATCCCACAACCAATCCTTATGAGCAATAGCACATATGGAACATATAGTTACATTAAAAAAAAAATCAGAGTATATCTAATATGAGTCAAATTTAAGGCTAGAGGTCAGAGCCCCTCCTAACAAGGATACCAGCAAACAGTAGGAAGCCACAAGACAGGAGCACAGTTCATACCACTGCATGTTTTTTCCATATTCTCCTTTTCTTAAATATAACACTTGCATTAGCTCTCCTCTCAATTCACACACCTATCTTAGAGGGAAAATTGAAAACTCAAGCTTCTAGCTAGAATAAGCATGTAGGAAAAGCAACCTACATGTAAAAAATAAATCACATCTTTTCCTAGAGAACTCTGTGCACACTGGTAGTCATACTGAATTCATCATATATTTAAATACTTTGCTTTTTGTTTAAAAACAATGCTGCAGTGTTGTTAAGTTCAGACTCAATACAGACATCAATATATCCTAAATAACAGAAGCCTGAAGTTGGAAGCAAAAACCAATGCTGAGGCAACATGACCACCTCTTAACAGATGACTCTGGCCCTAAAAAGCAAACCCCTTCAAGAACAGAGGAATTATGTGTTCCAAAGAAATGTTTGGGGCTTGCATATTCTGTCTTTATTTGCCACTAATATAGAGTCTGGAATTAAGACAAACAGCAGCTCTCTAAAGAAAACAAATTGTTAATATTCTCCTTCTAATCAAACAGTCCTGTGACAGTAAGAGTTCATCTCTGATTTATTGTTATTTCTATCTGTCAGTTACCATAAATCAGAAATTGTACTGCTGAAATTTTAGTTATCATAGGAACTTTTTTCTTGTATGTAAAAAGGTTTTAGCAATATTTACATGAAGAAAACAATCTGCAGCTTTTTTGTTCAGCTTAATTTTAAAAAAAAGTGTCAGCTAATATTTAGCCCCCTGAAAAAAACTTGGATTTTTGCTCAACAGCCAATAAGACTGGAGAAAAAAGAAAAACCTGAAATCACCCACACCCAAAAACCCCCCTCTCCCCCTAAGATCTCAACAATACTCGCAAACCAGAAAAGACCTCTGTCTGCAATCTTTTCAGGACAAAATTATTTAAAATATTTACTCAAGGAAACAGCCACCATGAGCCTTATAATAAAACAGAATATAGATGACCATCAACTTAGGCAACAGATGATGGCCAATTAAAACCAAAAAAAAATCAGTATTTTTAAGGCTAGCAGGAATCTGCATGGTGAAAATGCCTAGATGTTTCAAAGATGCAAAAAAACACCCAATTATCCTAACCAAAATGACATGACAAAAATCTTCTTCCAACACCAAATCTGTCAAACAATTTGTCTCCAAATATACAAGCAAGGCTCATTAATTAGGCACTCGGGAGTTTTTTCTGAAGCCAAAAGGAAGCCAGCCCACATTAGTTAATTTCCTGCCTCCATCCGCACAAAATCTTCAAAGTCTCAGAAGAAAGATAAGCAAAAAATCTCTAGTTGAAAAAAGTTGTTTCATGGCCTTTGCATTTGCAGTTCGTAGTTACTTGTGCTGGTAACTGCCCTGCGTTTGCAGTGTGCTATCAGCTACTCTAATTCCTTCTCTGGAGCATGAAAATGAAATAGGCAAGTGTTTATGTGAACCAAAAGTTTCCATAGTTTATAGAGTTCTCAGTCACCACAGGAGAAGTCAGCTTTGTTCTGGCTTAGGGAGCAGTGGCCCTGAACACTCACACTGACTCAAGGCAACTGATAGGAGCACATGATGAGGCTGGACCCTCCTGGTACAGCATAGCCCAGAGCTCCACCAGAGTTCCAGTTATCCTGAAACCCAGCTCATAAACTCTTTTCACAGCACAGTCCTCAGCTACATAAAAGGCATGAAAAGCATTACAGAACACAGATATGTGGAGAGCCATAAACTTTTATAAGATCAGATGACAAAAGCAAAGCAAGTAATCAGATGCACAACCAAAAGGGATGACAAAGCAGCACCCCTAACTAAATACGGAAGGGAAGAAAGTATCCAAACAAGAAATTCTTAGAGCAGCCAGGAGGGAATTCAGACAGCAAGGGGCATGCGACCTTTGCAGTCAGCTTAGGCAGAAAACGTTATCTATTTCTGGCCATGAAGCAACAGGCAGCACAGAGAGTCCTGAAAGATGCCAGAATAGCTGAAGCTTTGTGACTAGTGCAGTCACCTGGAGAGCCAGATGGAGTTCCAAACTCCTGATTCATGCAGTTCACAGAAGCAGCCAGTCATCAACATCCTGTGCAAGTCCCACAGCCATCCAGTTCCTGGTACCTGCTGCTTTCGATGAACATATGTAAAGGATTCCATCCTGCTGGCATCCCGGGAGGAATAAATACCCTATTCTGACTCCCAGTTCAGTTTGAGCTTGAATCTGACCTACTCAACAGCAACTGAGCAACCCAGAGACATCTCTGGGATGTTAACAGATAATGCTCACACTCAAAGATCTTTGGGAATTGTAATCTATGATTAAAAAATATGATTCTTCACATTTCAAGAGTTTTATTAGAAAGCAATATGTGAGTAGGATCTGATGAAATTTTACACTCCTTCAAGTATGCACACTACAGTCATGCTAGTGGTGTTGTGGATCCAGGGCCGCACAAAGAATTCCAACAACACACACACTTTCAAAGTTTTCTAGTTTTTCTTCATTTGACTTTTACACAGCTAAGACACCTCTGCTAATCTTTTTATTATTTATAGTCCAGTAAATTCAGACACGTACAGAAATACTCTGTTTAGAACTAACAAACTTCAGATGAAGTTCAGTCACTTCATTTCCTCACAAGCTACAGATTTCAAGTGCAATCTACAAATTTTAATCATTTGCCTTATCTCTCTCTGTTATCTACCCATCTAAAAGAGGATAAACAAAGATCAACCATAACACTGTTTGCCAAGGCCTCTAAGACACATTTGTACCAGCAGCTCAAGGAGCTCTCATTGGCTTGAAGAAATCACTGTCTTTAAGAAACAGATACCGGTTACAGAACCTGACTTCTGGTGTCTCCTGTGCCCTGAACAAAGCCAAATCTCACATCATGACTCCTCAGAATGAAACACCGCTCAGGCAACAATCAAACACATTTCACCTAGCACAACTCAGCAACGCAGGAAGCCATACAAGTCCCAAAACCTCAGCCAAATCCCAAATAAAATCAAGATATCTATGTCAGTTCAAGCAAATATATCTGGAATGTGCCATATGTAACTGAACTGAAACCATGAGCAGTCTCTTGACTGAACTCGCCAAGATCCACCGTGCCAGTGCTGTACAAGAGCTAACACAAAAATGCCCACACTCTTTACCAGAAAATCTTTCTAAGAAGTTTAAGAATTCTAAGCAACAAAAAGAAAATTACTTTAATTCTGATGAGTGCAATAACAGAGCAAGAAAACCTGTATAAGTTTTGCGATTAATTAATCTGAAAATACATTTAAACAAGGCACCAACACTAAATTCTTCCCCCCACTGACATGAGCACAGTGTGGTGCAGACTAAGGCATATTAAAAACCTCAGTAGTTTTAACTTGTACTTACCTGAGCTTAGAAAAGCTGTCAGAGTTTAACTTCACAGGTTCCTGAAATTTATTGTTTCACAGAAAAATGTAAACTTACCATACAATTAAAATTAGTAAAATGTACTTAAACAGCCACGTTTATACTCATTATTTTAATACTACCACAGCATCCCCAGGAGATGAATCTAATAACATGAACATTCCAAAAAGCTTAGTTTAAACTCATGCTCAGAACAAACATCCTGCTTCTATGTCAGAGAACAGAGTGGATTTGGATACAATTATTACACAAGAGCATGCAGTTCATACAGGGAAAAGGTAGCTGCTGCTTTTTTACCTTGAAGTTCATGTTCCATTTTAAAAAAGCCAATAACAACAAAACCCCACCACAACCAAAAAGGAGACACCTGTACAAGGCTCCCTCACCCCTTAAGGCAAGAAGTTACAAAGAACTGTCCATTCCTCTCCTCCCCAAGGGCTGCAAGACACAGCTCTGACAAGAACTACTACTGGTCTGTTTTACTGCCTGGCACAAGGAAATCCTGTAGAGGGCAATAGGTAAAAAAACATTAAAAACAGTGAACCAACAAAAATGGAAAACAGAAGAAATCCAAAATCTTCATCTGTGAAAGAAATGTAAACTGTCTAACAAAAACAGGGAAAGGGAGCTGATCAGTGAATAGGCCACCCTCACTCCCCTGGCTGACACTCTCCTGCTTATCCATCTATCTCTGAGCAGGCCCTAAATCGAGGGAGACTTATTCACGAGCTTTCCTTAAAGCAAAGGAGCATTTTTCCAAAACACAACAACTCAGGTGTCCAAATTTGGAATTGTGTCACAAATATCTGCAACACTGGCACCCTCCTAAAACTAACCATAAAAGGCTACTTTATGCAAAGTAAAAATATTCCTATCTTATTTTAAAAAATATATGATCTGCATTTGATTAAACAATTAAAAACGGTGAAAGCCTCAACCAAAAGATCGGGCCCACAAAGTTTCAGCCAAATAATCACATGCAATGAGATGATCCTTTAGAGAAAAGAAAATAGTTAAAAGTTTCTACACGCTTTCCCTGAAGTATTTTTGGAGTCATGATAATTTTATTTCAGACAAAGAGAAAAAAAAAGTTTCATTAACACAAAGAGCAAGTTCTTTTTCAGAGCACTGACAGGCTATCATAGATTCAGACTACATTTTAAGGTAGAAAAATAATTCTAATCAAAACAACTAAAGTTTTAATAAAAACTGTCTGCAGTGTAGACAGGAATGACCTCACACTTATTATATGAGCTTTAAGATCCTTGTTAGGTACTGAGTCCTCACTAATATCAGTGGGATTTCAGTATTTTCTCAGAACAATTAGAAAGCATAAATGAAACCTACAACTAGTAACTGGAGGAGTGAAATGCATATGCATGAATTATTTCTTCCCTAGCAGTTAAATAAACAGAAGGAGAATAATGCTTTCATTAAGTCAAAATGTAAGAAAAATCTAACATCCATTCAAATGTATTTCATTCAGAAGAAAAAATATAACTTAAACCTACTAATACCCTCAACTACAGTTTTATTTTAAATCTATCTTGAAATAAACAATCATCATATGCAAGATCCAACAAGTTTTGACAAAGCTAAGTAATTTCTCACTAATCCTTGAATCCTTATTCCTTGAGTAAGACAAAGGAAAAGCTGTTGACAGAAAATGCTTTCAGGACATGAGGCTGAGGAGGTTCTTTACAAATGCTATTAGAGAAATGGAGCACTTCCTACTTAAGGAGCACAATGCTAGAACATTAAACCTCACACGACTAAGTTGAAAATTAAGGCAATGCATTCCCTTCAAAACATCACTGTTTACACGGTAAGAAGCAGGAGGTGCTCCAGCCTGGAAGTGCAGTGCCCTGGCAGGACAAGCTGCCCCTCCTTCACAGCCGGCGGCACAGGAGCAGCTCAGGCTCACACGGGTGGCTGCGCTCGGAGCTCAACCCGGTGTGACATTTCAGTCGATTCCAGGCCGGAATTGCGACGCCTCTGGACTCGGGTACAACACAGTCACCATCCTCATCCCTCGCAGACCTCACTGCACCAGTGTGTTAAGAACAGATGCAAAACAAACCAAAAACCAGGTATTTCTTTCCCCAGGACAGTCCACGTACTGTTAGGAACTACTACATCCTTGATATTACCATGATGATTTAATATAAGTTGTTCCCTCTCTCCACACACATTCCAAAACTTCTAGTGGATTGAAAGAAAGAATACAGTAGTAAAGAAATGTATCTATTAAAAAAAAAAAAAAGGTAGCCAAACACATTAGCCCTCTAACTAAAACTTCAATGTTACACAGAGGTGAAGCCTTGCATGTTTTATCCCCATGTCCAGCCAAGATAAATTAGCAAACTGCATCAATCTAGGAAAGACAGGAAAAAATACCAGAGAGAGAAGCTACCTGGATAAGAACATGCTGTAGTCTGAAAGTACAAGTGCTAAAAACTCAACTCTGATAGAGAACAAGATGAACCCTGAAGTTTACAGATAGAGAAATTATTATTACTACTGCAATCTAAATAGCGCTGCCAGTAAAAGTAGCAATTTAAATTTCTCCTCCACTATCTGAGATTGTTTAAGAAAATTTAATGGTAATTTAGCTTCCATTTCCAACACACTCTTATTCTCCACTGAGAAGGCAGCACAGGAGCCAAGAGGAGGGAAAAAAGTTAGACCAGTGTTCAGCTACAGTTAAAATTTTAAGGAAAAAAAAAAAGTAACTATAGAGACAAGATCTATAAATACATTTACTCACTGGTCCAAACAAATCTTCTTTGACAACATAATCCATCAAACTAAATGGTATTTTAACTACCAGGATCTTGATCATCAGCTGAACATAAAATCCCTAACTGGAATACAAGGATCTTCAAAGAGTAAACAAAAATTAAGGTCAGCAGGCAGCAGTGACTGCAACCTCTGCTGCAGGACCGGAGAGGCAGAGCCTTGCTTCATTCCAGCTGTTCCCTCTGTGTCAACACCTTGTTCTTATCACTTTTTGACACATTATACCCTGAAAATTCCGGGTTTGATCCCTGATTGACTACGCAATGTCACAAGCCTGGCCATGTGCACACTAGCACTGTTATGAACTTAGCTTTTATGACGCTACTGCGTCCGTTTATAATTATCAGAATTCAAAACAAATTTGTTCAGTATTTTGAACAATCTTTGTTAGCATGACTCAACCCTATATCATCCAAGGAGAGCTCCGACAGTAACACAGCTCAGAGTGTTGCTGCAAACATGAACGGTGGTTATAAATCACTTCCCAGCCCACTGCCCTCTCTGAAGCGCAGCAAACACTGAAGGCAAACCATGTTTCTTACCTGCCAGTGTCAACTTTCAACTCGGCTCAGAGCTTGGAAACAGCGAGTTCAAAACAACCAACCCGCTGCCGACCTCAGCCACAACAAACCTCGCTCCTGACCCAGCCCTGAGCAATAAACACTGAGCAAAACTTCACTGAACTGCTTCTGTCAGAGAGGAAAACAGCGCGTTTAGCTCGAGAGCAGCAAGGCTGGAAGAGACCATCAAGCACTGTATCCCTTAAACCACTACACCACATCACCAGTGCCTCTTAAACACCTCCAGGGACGGTGACTCCACCGCCTCCCTGGGCAACCTATTCCAATGCCTGATCACCCCGAACAGTGGGAAACTGTTTCTGATACCTCATGGAACCCGCCCGTCCCAGCTCAAGGCCGTTCCCTGCGTCCCCTCACTGCAGGCAGGGCACAGACCGGCCCCCGCATCACAGCCTCCCGCGGGGAGCTGCGGAGAGAAGGAGGGCACGGCAGAGCCGCCCCGGCAGCGCCCCGCGAGGGGAGGGACTTCAAGGAGGTCTGTTTAACGCACCGAGGCTCGCCCTCACCTCCTGGCAGCCGAACGCACCGCGAATGGAAACGCGGGATGTTTCCGCCCTCGCGGCGACCTGGCAGCGACTGTCCCGGGATTCGCAGCCGGAGCTGCCCCGCCAGGCCCCGGGGAGAGCCCCGCGCAGCCGCTCCCCGCCGCGGTCCCCGCAATCTCCTCAGGGCCGGGCGGAGCCCCCGCGGCTCTCGGGGCCGCTCCGGCACCGCAGCCCCCCCGGGCCTGCGCGGGGCAGCGGCAACGGCGGCGCGGCTGCCGAGCGGCGCGGCCTGGCGGGCGCTGCCCCCGCCCCTATCCCGGGCCGTGTTCCGTATCCCGTGTCCCGTGCCCGGTCCCCGCTCACCCGCGGCGCCCTCTCCGCGCGGCCCCGCTCGCGCCGCTCCCGCCGGGACCCAACGGCACCGGCCGCAGACAGGAAGCGCCGCCAGCGCGCGCCGTCACTTCCGCCCCGCCGCTTCCGGAAGCTTCTGGAAGGGCCCCGCCGGGGCGTCCCCCGGTGAGCGCGCAGCGCCCCCTGCCGGCGAAGCGGGCGTGCCCTGAGGGATCCGAGCCTCCCAAAGGGATCGCTCTGCTCCCTTGCTCCAGAGAATCCTGACATCAGAAAGGGCGCCACAAGGATCATCGAGTCCAACCCTTAGCCCTGCCCGGGACAATCCCCAAGAGTCACATCATGTGCCTGAGGGCATTGTCCAAACGGTCCTTGAGCTCTCTTAGCCTTGGTGCTGTGACCACTTTCCTGAGGAGCCTATTCAGTGCCCAGCCACCCTCTGGGGGAAGAACCTCTTCCTTACATCCAACCTAAACCTCCCCTGGCACAAGTTCAGGCCATTCCCTCGGGTCCTGTCCCTGTTCCCCACAGAGCAGAGATCAGTGCCGGCCCCTCCTCTTCCCCTCCCGAGAAAGTTGTCACTGCAGTGAGGTCTCCCCTCAGTGTCCTCCAGGCTGAACAGACCAAGTGCCCTCAGCCTCTCCTCATAAAACTTCCCCTGCAGACCCTTCCCCATCCTCATGGCCCTCCTTTGGGCGCTTAATGTCTTTTTTATATAGAGATTCCTTCTGACCACTGCACATACAGGTGCATCTCAAAGCAGCCGCACTTAATATGGGGGGAGCAAGGGGCTGAACTTCTGGGTTCTGAGCATTCTCCACATGAATACTGGAGCTGTAATAAAATTTCAGTTCTGCGTAGCAGCGATGAGAAGCTGCCCCACAAGGTGCCCACCCCAGTGCCATCTGCGGGGAGGACTGGAACCAAGCACCAAGAAACCACAAAACCTTCCCTTTTTTTTCAGGTGTTTAGTTTATGGCGAACAACCTTATCACCGAAATAAACCTGATCTGCAATATTGGCTTGAGCCATTGAAATAGCACAGAAATTGAACTGGGAGAAGAATCCTTACCCCCGAATTGGCAATGGCTCCACTGGGCAAGGGAGCAGCTCCCCCCAGGCACTGCTCCCCCCTCACAGCAGCACCACTGCCCTCGCCCCCCAGGGTGAAACCCCGCTGGGTTCTCCGGAGAGAAAACACAAAAAGCAATGCCTGGATGTGGTGCTGAGGGAAAAGGAGAAGAAACGAGTAATAATTTTAAGAAACACTCTCTGAATAGGTGAGTTTGGCTGCTGGAAGTGAGAGGACAAAATTTCTTCCCCCTTTGTGTGTCTTTATTTTAGTCTCAAAAATTAGGGGTGCCAAGGGGATGGATCCAGGCTCTTCTCAGTGGTGCCAACCACTAGGACAAGAGGCAACGGGCAGAAACTGATGCACAGGAAGTTCCACCTGAACATGAGGAAGAACTTCTTTACTGTGCAGTGACCATACACTTGGACAGGTTGCCCGGAGAGAGTGTGGAGTCTCCATCACTGGAGGTATTCAAGAACTTCAGGACACAATCCTGTACAATGTGCTCTGGGATGACCCTGCTTGAGCTGAGAGGTTGGAACAGATGACCCACTGTGGTCCCTTCCAACTTGACCCATCCTGTGATTCCATGAGGGGAAATGCAAAACGTAACACCCGGGTGTGGTGCTGAGGGAAAATTAGTAATTTTAAGAAACACTCTTTGAATAGATGAGTTTGGCTGCTAAATGTGAGATGGCAAAATTTCTTCCCCCTTGTGCGTTTAATTGTAACTCTGGCACAGAATTCCTTTGAGGGCAGATTCCTCCCTCTCCAGCTGGCACCTGGACAGAGTCCTGGGCTGGGTCAATGTATTGGAGCATCCTTTGGGTTATATTCGAGCATGTGGTTTTCTGACTGTCATGGCTGAGAGCAAAGTATAAGCAGTCAAGTTATTATTCTCTTTTTAAAACATGGACTTTGTCCATGCTTTAAATTGCTGTAAAATTATAATTCTTGCCCTTTATTTAAAAAGTGGAGGAGGCCTTAATTTATAGATCACCAAAGCAAAGTTGAGGGAGTTTCCACACATAAAATATGTGCTTCCCAAATACAGTCAATTAAATGGCTACCTATTATTTAGGAGGTGTTTGTGTGGGAGTGCAGTCAGTTCAAAAACACAAAAGCCAGCTTGGAATAAGGCAGAGGGAAACCTAAAACAAATCAACAAGGCAAATAGTAGGACAAGCCTAAGTATAGGCTTGGTGCTTTGGGGGAAATACAATCTTCAAAAAAAATACTGTTCCATGAGACTTGATGCTAAATTGTGGTCATGGAAACAAGTCTTCAAAATTAGATCAAAGAGACACCTCGCTCCATTATTAGTTTCTCATTAGCAAATAGCTGTGAAGTCCAAGTTGCTGATCCATTTGGAAAGAAAAAAAACCAGATGAGTAGTAGGTTACATGGGCTCTTTCTCACAGGTAAGGTTCAAACCTCAGAGGATTCTCAGCCTAGCAAGTGCAAAGGCAAGCAGCAGGTCAGTACTGTGTGGTGCAGGAGGAGGTCATATTAAATTTTGATTTAATGCTTTTAGTGGGTCTCTGTGACTGGGTTTTGGTAGTGGGGGGGAAGGGCTACGGGGGTGGCTTCTGTCAGAAGCTACTGGAAGCTTCCCCTGTCCAGTGGAGCCAATGCCAGCCGGCTCCAGGATGGGCTTCCTGCTGCTGGCCAAGGCCAAGCCAATCAAGAGTGACAGTAACGCCTCCAAGATAACATATTTAAGAACAGAAGGTTGTTACACAGATGGGAATTCCAGCCAGGGAAGAGCAGAGTGAGATCATGTGAACAACAATGCAGACACCAAGGTCAGTGCAGAAGGAGGGGCAGGAGGTGCTCCAGGCACCGGAGCTGAGGCCCTGCAGCCCGTGGTGCAGAGCAGGGTGGGGCAGCTGTGCCCCTACAGCCCATGGAGGAACATCGGGATGCAGAGACCCACCTCCAGGCCATGGAGGAGCCCATGCTGGAGCAGGTGGATGCATGAAGGAGGCTGTGACCCTGTGGGAGGCCCAAGATGGAGCGGGGTCCTGCTGGAGACCTGCAGCCTGTGGAGAGGGAAGCCCATGCTGGAGCAGGTTTTTCCCAGGTAGGACTTGTGGCCCCTGTGGGGGACCCACGTCAGGTACAGCTCATTGGTGAAGGACCGCACCCCATGGAGGAGTGATCCACGGGACAGCAGTTTGGGAAGAGCTGCTGCCCGAGGGATGGACTCATGCTGGAGAGGTCCATCAAGGACTGTCTCCCGTGGGAGGGACCCCACAGGAGCAGGGAAAGGACTCCAACTCCTCTCCCTGAGCGGCAGCAGAAACAACAACTGACCGTAACCCCCATTCCCTGTCCCTCTGCACCGCTGGGGAGAAGAAGGTAGAGTTTTAGAAGGAAAGAGGGGTGGGGGGAAGGTGTTTTTAAGATTATTTTATTTCTCACTCTTTTGCTTTGATCCTGTAAGTAATAAATTTAAGTAATATCTCCATTTGGAGTCTGTTTTGCCCATGAAGGTTATCAGTAAGTGACCTCTCCCAGCTCTTAACTCAACTCATAAATCCTTCATTGTTTTTTTTTCCCTCCTCTGTCCAGTTGCAGAGGGGAATGAGAGAGCAGCTCTAGTGGATACCTGGCATCTGGCCAGGGTCAACCCACTACAATGCTTTAAACATTCTTGATGTGGAAATAAAGATGTTTTTCCTCAACCTTTCATAACCAATGACAGGGGAGAACAAAGTAGGAAGAGTCCTAAAAACATGACCTGCAAACAGGACAGAAGTAGTGCATGAGGCAGTTACTTTGCTTTACAGAGCAGATTTGATATAAAAGGTTCGATGGATGCCAACCATAAAATTTGCTATTTATCCATACAAGCAGAACATGTCAAAGAAGCATGATTCTACATGGAATTACGGGGTTGAAATCAAAACACTGTCTACATCAATGCAACCAGGACCATGGCTGCTTTAACACAATTGTTATCATTACATTAATTTGTCCACAGACTTTCTGACACTGTTCTGACTCTAGACAGTGTAGCTCTCTATCAGCACCCTTCAGATACAGGAATACTATCTGGGAAGGCTTAGAGACCAAATTTGCATTTGGAGAAAGTAAGGCATGAGAAGGTGAAGTGCTCGCTCACAGCTGAGGGCAGGGTGAGCTGTATGAGGTCCAGTTTGGCATTTTCTACAGTAAGACACTGAGAGTGTAAATAAATGTTTCCAAACAAAGTTATAGAGACAAACAAAAACTTATGTAATAAAGAAAAAAAATCCAAACTATATTTTGATTGGTTTCTGCTTGTCTTTGAAGTGGGATATGAAGACATTTCCTGAGACTTTACAGAGCAGGTAGTTTGCAGAGCCACCAATTACAAATATAATTTATTAGGGCACCTCTTTCTTTTAACTTATGATCTTAGACAGCTCAGATTGTGTCTAACACTGAACAATTACAAGAAGTGTTTAATTTTTAAAAGTTCATTTATATTGTGCCCATGATATCTAATTTTCTGCTCTCCGTGTTACAAGGAAGGTATAAACACACAGCAGAGCCCACCAGAAGAGGTACTGCAGGGTAGACTGAAGAGATCCATGTGAGTGTGCAAAGTCAGTGTCCCCAAAACTCCTGTAGTAAAACAATGTGACCCCAGCTTGTCCCCAGCTGACCTGAGCCGGATTCTGCAGAGCTGCTTACAGGAATCTCCCCAGTGCCCCAATTCCGAGAGATTTACCACCTCATGCTTGTGAGCACCAGGTTTGGTGAGCTCTGGAACTGCGCCCAGGCAGAAGCCAATCCCAGCGTCTCTGCAGGAGGCAGCTTGGGCTGGCACAGAGTGCCATGGGACCTCCATCGACTTGGTGACACTTGGGAACAATGGGACAGAGGGAGCAGATAAGGGATTTCTACTTATACCTTGGAGTTTCAGGTGTGGGGAGAAGTCATTCCAGAGACTCCAGGCTGAGGCTGTCTCTAACTCAGTGTCCATCAGGCTGCTCCTACCAAAGGGAGGAGTTTCTACCTCCTACCTGTGGTTCAAGCTCTCCCTTGATGG